GCGTTAATGCAACAATTGCAAATAGAGGAAATAGTTATGAAACTAATGCAGACTTTTTTTGTAGTGCCGCGAATTACGGATATGATTCCTTCTCAACCATTTAACGTTAGTTTGGGTAATTTCAGTAGAGATAAATTAGCGGATATGAAAATTTCAACATTCCGGGAAATATTGATTTATTGTTGGGAGCAGAAATCTTTTATGAAATTCTTTTACCAGGACAAACAAATCTTTTAAATACAAAATTAATTTTTCAGAATACAGTCTTCGGCTATATTGCGAGTGGGAGTATTCCAGTTTCTAGTGAAAATAAACCTCACTGTGGGTTAATCAAAGATAATGTCGATTTAGAAAAGACAATGAGGAGATTTTGGGAAATCGAAAATGTTGAACCTGAGACAATAAAAAATAAGGAAACGATAATTTGTGAGGAGCATTTAAAAAAATCATACTAGAGATAGTACGGGAAGATATATAGTATCTATGCCATTTAAAAAGGATCCAAATTGTTTAGGCCAATCAAAAGATATTGCCCTTAAAAAATTAAATTCTTTATGGAATAGATTAAAGCGTGAGCCTAACTATTTAAAATTATATAGAGATTTTTTAAAAGAGTATAAAGAGCTAGGCCATATGCAAGAGGTAGACGAGAGAGAGGAGTGTGGAATGTATTTCATACCACATCTTGGTGTTTATCGCTCTGATAAAAAAACAAGTACATTGAGAGTAGTTTTTAATGCGTCGAGTGCAACTACAAACGGTTATTCTTTAAACTCTCTACAATACAATGGGAGAGTTGCTCAAAATGACCTTTTTTCAATAATGGTTCGCTTTAGAAAGCACATATTTGCATTCATTGCGGATGTGCAAAAAATGTATCGAATGATTTGGATTAATCCAGATCAGCGTAAACTTCAGCGCATTCTGTGGAGAGAGAACATGGACGAACCAATAAAAACATTTGAGTTGTCAACTGTGACCTATGGAACAACGAGTGCACCATTTTTAGCGACACGTACGCTAAAACAATTAGCCCTAGATGAAGCAGGGAATTTTCCATTAGGGTCTTCAGTTGTGATGAGTGACATGTACATTGATGATATACTTACCGGTGCAGAGACCTTATTAGAATCAAAAGAACTGAAAAATAAACTGATCAATATCTTCGCTAAAGGAGGTAAGGTTTTGCATAAGTGGTGCGGAAATAATACGGAATTGATTGAGGTTTCCGAAAATTATGATTTTTCAGATTCATCAGAGATAAAAGTGTTGGGTGTTTATTGGAACCCCAAGCATGATTGCTTCTCCTTCAGAGCAAAAATAGACTTGCACGAATTAAATACCAAACGGGATGTTTTGTCAACCATCGCCAGGATATATGATCCTCTAGGTCTTTTAGGTCCTGTGGTGGCGAAGGCGAAAATCTTCCTTCAAAAATTATGGATGTTAAAGATTGATTGGACAGATTTGCTTCCAGATACAATCAATAGAGAATGGCGACAATTTGTCGAATCACTTCAGGTAGTAAATGACATCAACATCAATCGATGCATTGTGGTAGAGCAACCGGAAGTGATCGAGCTGCATGGATTCTCCGACGCGTCCCAGTCAGCATATGGAGCTGTCGTCTACTGCAAATCCATAACCTCAGATGGAAAGATGCTTGTGCATCTTATTGCCAGTAAATCCCGAGTTGCGCCTACCAAGCAAACAACGATTCCCAGACTTCAGCTATGTGCCGCTGTGCTGTTAGCAAAATTAGTGCATCGTGTCAAGCAAGCTTTGAAATTAAATGTGACTAATACTTTTCTTTGGAGTGACTCCATGATAGTTTTGTCATGGATAAGGAAGGAGTCATATCAACTAAAAACCTTTGTGGCTAACAGGATTGCTACAATCCAGGAGATGACTTCCAGTGAGCAATGGCGTTATGTGGCAACAGAGGACAATCCTGCCGACTTCGTTTCCAGAGGAATGGATTCTCTAAAACTTAAAACCTGTGAGTTGTGGTGGAATGGTCCTAAATTTCTGATGAGCAACCAGTACCCACAACGACAAATTCCTGTTGCAGTGATCAAGGATCCAGGTGAACTTAAAAACTGTAGTGACTTTTCTAACTTTTTTTCTTGATTCTGCTACTAACTCTTTTGTAAATAATTTACTTAACCTTAGTAATGACTATTTTAAAATTATTCGTGTCTTAAGTTTTATTTGTAGATTTGTTTATAATTGTAAGAGCAAAGAAAGCAAAATAATTGGGCCTCTAGATTTAGGAGAATTAAAAAAGGCTGAACAGCTTTTATTGAAATTAGTACAAAAGGAAGAGTTTAAAGTAGAGATGAATGGTATTCAAAATTCTGCCATGGTACCTTCCATCAGTCGAGTAAAAAAACACTCAATCCATTTATTGATAGTGAAGGGATTTTGAGAGTTGGAGGTCGATTGAGAAATAGTGATATTAATTATAACCAGAAATTTCCAATTCTTTTGCCTTCGAAACATAAATTGACTTATTTAATAGTTGAGTATTTTCATAAAAAGTTTTTACATAGTGGTCCACAATCCTTGTTATATCAGATCAGGCAAAATTTTTGGATATTGAATGGCCGTAATATTTGTAGAAAAGTTGTTCATAATTGTGTAATTTGTTGTAAGGCCAATCCTACTTGCACTGATCAAATAATGGCTGACTTGCCAAATGATAGAGTTATCAAAAACTATCCATTCAATGTGTCAGGTGTGGACTTCTGTGGCCCCTTTTACATTAAGTATAAAGGGCAGAGAAAAGGTGTATATAACAAAATCCATGTTTGTATATTTATATGTTTTGTTTCTAAAGCTGTGCACTTAGATATTGTGACTGATTTAACCTCTAATGCATTTATTGCTACACTTAAGCGTTTTATATTTATAAGAGGTAAATGTGCTAAGTTGTATTCTGATAATGCAACAAATTTTGTGGGTGCAAATATAGAACTTAAAAAAATGTTTAATTTGGTGTGTAAACCTGATGAGGCACTTGCAAGTTATATGGCTTCTGAAGGAATAGATTGGAAATTCCTCCCCGATAGAGCCCCAAATTTTGGAGGTCTCTGGGAGGCAGGCGTTAAATCTTTTAAGTTCTATTTAAAGAGAGTAGTAGGTAACATTAGATTAACATATGAAGAGTTTCTGACCGTGATTATCTAAATAGAGGGGATGTTAAATTCTCGTCCTCTTGTCCCATTATCTTCTGACTTAGATGATTTAAATGTATTGACTCCTTCTCATTTTTTGATAGGTAGATCAATTACATCAATTGTTGAGCCTGATTTAACTAATTTAAATGAAAATAGGTTGGATAATTGGCAGAAAATTACAAAAATAATTCAATTAATTTGGAAAAGGTGGAGTGTAGACTATTTAAATAGTTTGCAGCAGAGAAATAAGTGGCATTTCGAGAAAAAGAATGCTAAAATTGGAGATATGGTTATAATAAAAGAGGATAATTTACCTTCATGTCAATGGTCATTAGGTAGAATCAACAATATTTATCCAGGAAAGGATTCTAAAGTAAGAGTAGTGGAAGTCAAAACCACTAGAGGTATATTTAAGAGACCCATTTCGAAACTGTGCATTCTACCAATTGAAACAGTGTGTGTGTGTGAAGTAGCATATATAGCCCTTCAGATAGTAATGTTTGTGTGTAGAATAGTAATTTTTTTAAAATTCTGTGTGATTTATCAATTGCTTTATACATTGTCTTCATTTGTATGTTGTTTTGTTTGTATTTTGAAGTATTGTATTTCTGTGTGTTATCTTTATGATTATGTTCTATGTAAATCTTGCATGTTGGAAAACATTGCAAGGCCGGGCGGTATGTTCAGTGCACGTATGTAAATGTAGAGCGCCCTCTAGCGCTCAGAGTGTCTAACGAATCTGTGTAACCTCTGACTCCATCGAGTAAGGAGTCGAAACGAGCGAGCTGAGCAACAAGTAATAAAAACTACAGTCCACTTACTGAGAGAGACCTTTTTCTAGAGTTTTACTTGTGTACCCAACAATCTTCCTAAAATTTTTTATCATTATGGGTCTGGGTTTTGTCTTTCCTCGGAAAGAGTTGCATTTTCCCTTTGAAAAGAAAACGTAATAAAAAAATCTCTCATCATGGGATTACAGCAAATCGAATAAAACGTTTTTTTTATTTGGTTATAGTATCAAAGATAGCTAAAAAATTAGGTTTTTAAGTAGAAGCTTTTTTTTATTTTTGATTATGTAAAATCGCAGATAATATATATATATATATATATTATTTCCGTGTAAATGTGTATATTTTTTATTTTGTCAGAAAATATTCTGTTTTACTTCTTTCTAGTAAATAAATTTTTTTAAATCTTTTATTTTCGATATGCTCGCGCCCCCCCAGGGGGCGCGCCCCACAGTTTGAGAAACACTGGCCTAATGCACTACACTGATCCTCTTCTATGGCATCTCTTCCATCCAAAAAACATTTGTGCCACACAAAAGCGTTTTTATCTACTTAAACAACAGTCACCATAAATTTGTTTCATTAGTTGGTATGTTTCCGAAGCACTTTTACCAAGTTTTGCGTAAAATTTGATTCCAGCTCTTTTCTCCATCTTAAAAAAAACATGATAAAACATTCATTTCTGCAATGAACGCTCGTCTTCTCTCAGCTACTTAATCAAATGCCATCAACTTGTTCGCAGTGTGTCAGAAGACCATGGATATTATGACTCATGCGCATTTGCACTCATGGCGCCGTTACAGCCTAAGCACTGGGAAGAGTCTTAAAACTTATTTCCCACACTGTGTACATAGGACAGAATCACAATATTAGAGGCAAAATAGAAAGTGATTTTCCCTGAAACTTTCCATTTTCTTTTCTATATAGGGTGTTGGACTATAATTTTTGTTTGTTACTATTTATTAATTAATTAAATTTAATTATTCCAATAAAATAGTATAGTAAAAATAAATCACATTATCAGAAGTTAGGCCATCCCAGGAGGGATTCAAATCCATGACCTTTGGATTAGACGTCCAACGCACTATTCATTGTGCTACAGGGACACAACGAACGATTCTCCTTTCTATATATGCTATTCGTTACTTTTTATTCATTAATTAAGTAGAATTAATGAATAAAAATTTGAAAAAACTGTATTAAGATCAAGTGCCATCCACTACAAGTTTAAAAAAATGTATTTGAACTTGAGTGAATGAATAAAAAATATTTTTTTAATGGTTGAAAATTTGAACAAATATATATATATATAAATAGGGAGATTGTGAACTAATTGTAGGAACTGAAAAATAGATTTTGAGAAGCACACGTCACACTACGGTGGATGTTGAAGACGGGACTCGTAACTTTGAATTAAGTTCAGTTGACATTTCAGCTGGTACTTGATTCTCCAAACTTACACACTGCTCCACCGTGAGTCTCGATAGTACATCAGCCCCTGTACACATGCTGTATCTTCAGTTCCACGACTCCACAAAAAAGGCCATGAGTTGATCGCCATTCAGGTGACTAAAGAGTTTCTTCTTGGAATTTATAGCTATTGTTGTCTGACGTATACTAATGTTTGTATAATAAAGGAACAGTTGGAATGAACTCATCGAAAGAAGCAGCAGCAACGGAGAAACCATTGATCTGGTAAAAATCCTAATAAACACCATGTTCCAAAAAGTATTTAAAAAAACATTCCATTTTTAAAAATTTCTTTTGATTTTCAACATATTGCTGATTTGTGAAGTAAATATGCAAATATCATCTACATTTTACTCACATCATTTGAAACATGTAAATACAATTTGTATTTTAATTTTGTATGTCAAAGGTAGGTTTTTATTATCCTTTTGTTTCAACTTAATTCTCCATATTAATTCAATTTAACAGAAAATACAAGTTAGAAATCGTAAGTTTTTCCTTTATTATTATTAGTTAATATGTTATTATACAAAAATATCAAATGAGTTCGTTAAACGCCTTACCGTTCCCAACTTACCAGCTACAGATTTTTCGTATGTATTATTTCCGCAAACGTATCGGTGTTTGCGTATTATGAAAATATTTTATTTAGGTGACATCTCATTCCTTGTTTGGTCAATGCTTTGATGAAAAAATAGAATACTTCAAAATATTAATGTAATCTATTAAACTAAGGTGACGTACATTGTACGTACACTTGTACGTACAAGTTTTGTACATTGATTGCCGAAGGTTGCAGCTTTTTACGTTAATATTTGGGAATTGGGTGCAATATCTCTCAACTTTATGCTCTCTGTCATCATTTTTTCCCCCAAGTCATACCGAGGTTTTGTTGATTTGTTGATTTTCGTTGCGTGCACGAAACAGCAAATAAAACAAGTTGAGTGTGGTAGTTAATGAAAGAATTCAAAAACACACACACTATGATTCATGTAAATATTTTAATTAAAAGAAATAATTTAAATATTGATTAAAACAAACACTCTTAAAGACTACAGCTGCTTACTAGAGATTTTTCTTTTAAGACTACACGGTACCCTTTTTCAAAAAAAAAAAAAAAAAAATTGGAGACAGTTACAGTAAAAATAATTGATGTTTTACATTTAGGTTATATTATTAAGTGGATTCTGTAAGCAAAAAGTCAGTTTGACCAGCCATTATTTTACAATTTTAAAAAATTAGGAATTTTTGAAGTTTTTTCAAACTTTTATAAAATACTCAATTTTTAAAATTTTTTAGTAATTTTAAGTTATTTATGATTCTTAGATTATTACAAACAATATTTAGTATGGATTTGAAAATCTATTCCCTTGTTGATTTTTAATAATTATTTTTCTAGAAAAACCTGGAAAAAACACGAAAATTTTTAAAATATCAATTTTAGCATTTTTTAGAAAAATAACTAGAGTTCAAAGCCCTAAATCCATACTAACTTTTATAGAACATACATTTGGGAGTATATACAAAAAAATTCAAGGCTCTATCTTGAACAGGAAAAAAGCCTTAGGGATTAGAAAACACTTATACCTTCAAAATTAAAAGTCTGAGAAAAACGAATTTAAAGTTTGTAAAGTCATAAAACAAAAACTTATAATGCCCGTAAAACTCTAATTTTTTAATATGTTATTTTCCAACGTATGTTCTACATTAAAACACTATTTTTATTAAATATGACTGAAAATTATATTTTTAATTCAAAATATATTTTTGTATAATATTGATAGCATTTGTTAAGACGTCAGTTTATTCAGCTTTATCTTAACCTAATATTTCACAAAAGTTTTGAAACACAAAGCATTTATGTACAAAATAATAATGATACTAACGTAAGCTAAAAATAAACAGGTTTGCTCATAAAATTTATTTTTTTTCTGTTTTAAATTGGGGCAGTTTAGGAAGTTTTAGCTCTTGTCGTACGACTTTAAAATACTAAAATATAGTACTACAATATGTTTAGTATAATGCAGTTTGCTACATCAAGGAAATATTCAGTTATATTTGCAGCATTTGAAATCAGAGTACTTGTATTCGGAAGTCTACATAATTGCAGAATCAGCTGAAGACTGATTTTTAGATACCTCATTTTCAGTAATATTCCATCTCTTCGAAATATTGTTTCTCACAGAAACCCAGAACGCATTTGCCATGGCATTTTCTCTACAGGAAAAAATTAATGATAAAGCTTTTAAGTTATATAAACTAATTTTAAAGCAAAAATTGGCCATGAAATTAATCTTTATTAATTAATTATGAGAACTCAAAAAACTCAAAACATAATCAAGCAGAAATGATTTTAGTAATGAAAATTGGAATTAATAACCATTTCAAACTAAAAGCTCAAAATATTTTTAATTAATTCAACTTAAGTGTGAAAAAAATGCTTTAAAAGAAAACCGAAACCCAAACCATAGCTCATAAAACTTCAAATATCTTAAAAACTAATTTGCTAACAGATCTGAAATTTCGTGGCAAGCATCTCAATGATATGGGCCACCAAAACATGCAAAAAAAATTTTTTCGGTAAAAATGAAATTTTTAGGGTACTGTGTAGCCTTTAGGCATAAATTCTAAATTTTAAAACGGCTTTTTTAACAAAATAAATTTCCCTAAAATATCTTCTAAAGAGTAACTCAAGATTTGAATTGAGAAGATTAGCTATATATATAATAGGATGTAAATTGTTACTTATTTAATCATGATCAGTTAAACACTCCATCATAAAATCAAATGTTTGTTCAAAAATCAACATGTCACAATAAATAAACGAGCAATGGTTAGCATAATTGGATTCTCCTCCACCCATTTGTTCCTATTTGATGATAATATTCACACTATGCAACCCAGAATCCCTTTCTTCTGTGAGTAGCAGAAAAGCATAACTTGATCTGTCCAAAGTGAAAGGTCAACAGTGAAAAGGTAGAGAAATGACGACATCATGAGCTCACTTCTGAGATCCATAGTAGATACTTCAAGTGCTTAGTACAATTCACACCGATGCATCAAGTGCGGCGAATCCTCTCAAAGACTCCGTGTGTTTCCTGTAATAACAATTCCCATGTCCACAAGCGACTCGTTCACAGTGCTTTCGGGAGACGCCATGACAAGTCGAATGGATTATGTCTTGTGAGTGTGAGGTCTTTATGTCCTATTGTGACGTTTGAGATCATTAATGATAGCGTTATATTGATTAATCTAAACATTTAGTTTATTTACGTCAGAGCTATTATTTAAACATTATACATTGATGTTATTAAACTTATTAACGAGATTATTAGAGTTCAAATGATGTGATTTGTGAGGGAGGAGTTTCTTTTGGGGTCCGCTCTCAACGAAGGGTTTCAGATCATATTCGTTCTCTCTCTCTTTCTTCGGGGATCAGTGGCCAGCATCTTTAGCTTCCAGTTACATACAGTCGGAGGAAAAAATGGTCTTTCGTGGTGTCAAAGGTTGCCGGGGATATCCAAGACGGGACCACGCAATAATTTAAAGTTGCAGGTGTCTTTGCACGTGTGGTGATTATTTCCACAGAGAAGCCGATTCACAACTGCATGGTTGGACGGTGACACTATCAATCGCTCGGGATATGTTGTGCTCAGGAAGTGTCGGACAGGAGTGGAAAAATAAGCTGAGACTTTTTCATGCATGTACCACATGTCTGTTTGTATGATGAAAATAGGCTTTAATAAACTGGATGCCCATTCTCCAGGAAGAGGATACTGTACACCTATAAAAAGTTCTGGCAAAAGTTTAGGGTCAACTGGGTAATCATCAACGATACCTGCCCACACGTTAACGGAAGTCTCATGATATTCAAGTAGAGCCTTTAAATGGTGGAAATAGAGGCCTAAATGCGGCGGGCAATAAAATTAACGTCGATAGTACTCAAGAAAAACAAGACTTTAATCAAAACAAAGATTTAGTATGATTAACATAGTAATAACAATTTATCAATGAATTTTAGAATTAAAGTAAAATTAGACAAAGAGGCACTTATAATATGAAAAGGAACACTTTCTATACGACGGGGCGACTGGGATGTTACGTCAGCTCAGTAGGAGGGACGTACCATGGACAAGTGACGAGCATGACATCTGAGTTGGCATCCCCTTCTCCTAACTTGCACACCACACCTACGGGAGGAAGTTAGAGCTCGACAGATTTAACGTGCAACGGCCCCCTCTATAAAGTGGATCTTTAGGCATTTTCAGGGATACAGTAAGCCTTGATTTCATTTTTTGAATGACAACGCATCTGGTGGACGCATTTTTTGAAAGGGCCCTCGGAGAAGCAGAAGGAGTGAGTCTCCCTTTCATGTGTGCGGAGGATAAATGGCAACCGATGCGTCTGTGTAATCTTCCTGTAGGGAATTTTTATTTTAAGACAAATGCAATGGATACTTTAAAAAAACCCAAAGTTAAATAGAATATGAAAGCTCTTGGATTAATTTTGAAATAATTTACTATCGGTTCGTGTGCATTCCACTAGATATTTTACTTTGGCCACGAATTTAATTTAAAAAAATGCCGCCCAAAATTTTGCAACATAAACAATTTTGAATTTTTTCTTGTATTTATGG